ATGTCATGGAAGGTGAAGGGTAGATTGCAACTAGATCTCATCCTCATGAGTAACATTCAACTATCTCAATGAAATTTTCCTGGAATTGCTGAAATAGTGTGGTCATACGCACCTTCGTGTGTTCTTAAGGAATGATTAACCTATGTGTACTTAAATTAGTCTCCCTATATAATTCTTGGACTGCTTCATGGTCTTGGTCTTACTTGAAGCTGAGGCTATGTTTGTTGCTAAACTTTATGGTCTTTTTACAAAATCTTATATGTTTTCTAAAGTATCCTCACAAGATTTCTTTCCTCTATAATCTCTCTCTACTTTTGGTTTTCTACTCATTTGTGTTGGTTATTTTTCTCCTTCTCTCTCTTTGTATCTATCTTTCAATCATTTTTTTCTTACTTTTCTCATTCTCTCTTTCCTCCATATGTCTCTCAGTTATTTCTTTTCTTCAATGATCTATCTGGGAACTAGTTTTTCTTAGTGATTAGTGTTAGTTTGCTGACATGGCTCTTAGGATTGACATTTTTCTTACCCACTGTTTAGGAAAATTGTTGCCTAGAGAGTTCTACAGGATTCCAGAAACAAAGAAAATTAGAGAAACACAAAAACATAAACAGATAGACTTAGGGGAAACCAAGGTTCTGAAGCCTCTCTGGCACTTGGCCTCTGGTTGCCAGCAAGCAAGCATAGTTCCTTGAGTTCACACAGGGAAGATTACCATTGATAACATGCAAAATTGAAGTATCTATATTAATATTACAATCTGAGCCACAACAGGTTGTGAGGAAAACATGTTTCCATATTCTCCTGAGACAGAAGAGTGGTGCCCAGAGAAAATGCAGACATGAAGTTCACCTTACCTAGCCTTCAAGGTGAACAGCAGCTCAGTTTCAGATGCTATCTTTCCAACAGTAAGGAAAAGCCCTGAACTCCAATATTTTAACCATCTCCAGAATTCTCTTTTAACCCTTCTGCGGCCAGCTCTCAGTTCTCTCAGTCCTGTCAGGCTGTTATCTCTCATAACTTTTTCCCCTTCAGCTCAACTTCAGATGAACAACTTGTGATTGACTCACTCTTAGCCCATTTAGTTGTTCTGCTGAGTGAGCTATAATAAAACACCAGTGTGGACGATGTGTCGCACCTGTGTTATCTCATAGAAGGCCAAAGTGGATATGACATTAGGGGAAATAATCAAGCACACAAAGATATTGATCAAGCTCTCACAAAAATTGAAGTTAACAAAAAAATCAAACCATCTGCCTTTTGAGCTACAGCATCACTTCTAGGCCCTGAGAGGAAGGAAGGAAAGAAGGAGGGAAGTGAGAGAGGGAAAAAGGAAGGGAAGGAGTGAAGAAGAAGGAAGAAATAAACTATTCAAAAGAAGAATGTTTAATTTTTGGTGAATGTGAGAATTATTCTTTCAGAGGTAGGCCTCAAGAAAAATGGCTTTTAAAAAAGCAAATTTTTGAATGTTTACAAAACGATAAAGAGGATGTAACATTTTATAAATTGATTTACTAATACAGTAATATTAAGTAAGGAGGTCAGGTATGGCTGGTGCCCAATTGGCCACATGGTAGATGGTGGGGTCTGGCATCTTGTTTTCATGCAGGGGGAAGGAATGCCCCATCCATCACTTACCACCCTACTGATGGGTGTGGCTGGATCCCTGCAAGCAGGCATGGGCATTTGGCTGATATGTTACTCAAACTGATAGTCCAGTGCCTGGGACTGGGAATTTCCTGTAGACCTGCCTCCTGCTTAGGCCCTACTTAGGCTGGCCCAGCAGTGGCACCAGATGCCATGCCACATGTCTCTGTAATCATGTCCTGTGAGCTGTCTCCTGGCTTGTCTCTGGTCATCATAGTGTTCCAATTCAGCACTCTCTGGGTGCTGATTGGTTTCTCGTTGCTGTTTTTATTCTCCCCCCCACCTTTTCTGTCCTATTTCCAAGCTGTCTAAGTGTATTTGTGCACTGCATGTCTTTGTTACAACAGGCTGCTTGCAGACTGTTAGCTGTGTAATAAACACTGCAGTATTCTATCCTCCATAATGTGGCTTCCAACAAATATACTGTCTTCTTTTACAGAAACATAAAGGTTGACCTAACATTAGAATTTCTAGAGCCAAGATAGATGCCACTGTATATTTATGTAATTAAAGATATCCTAGAGGCATTTAGAAGAAATTTCTGTTACATCAGAAAGTGCTTAATTACTAAACCAAGACCAAGGCTCCTGATCCTATATAAGCCAGTCATTCTAGATATGTCCAGAGCTGTTTGGTTACATGAAGAGCACTAATTTCACACATTCATGAAGGAATGTTTTTGTGCCAATATGAAGTTTTGAACTCAGGAACTGAGTTGAAGCCAGCCAGAGCTGGCCTCAAAGGAGATTCTCTCATCTTGGCCTCCATAAAAGCTAGGAATCAAAGCATGAGCCCTGTGGGCTGTTCTGATGAAAGCTCTCTCTGTGAACTGGAGGTTTCCTTCAGTGCTTCAGCTCAGGCTTCCTGTGGCTTCAAGAATTTCAGTTTTTATTTCAATTGTTCAAAAATAATAACTCTTCTTTACAGTATTTTCACAATAAAAAAAGGAATCCTTAAATCCTGCCTATGATTCCATTTACAAGATAAGGACAGTGGAGTTCACATTGCAAGATTTAGCTGGTTGCTCGCTTAACCCCTTCCATCACACTGTTCACCATTCTTCTTTTTTTTGGTGGGAGGTCTGGTCTTGTGGCCTGAACTCTGGGCCTGGGTGCTGTCCCTCAGCTCTTCAGCTCAAGGCTTGCACTCTACCACTTGAGCCACAGTGCCACTTCCAGCTTTTTTTTCTTTTTGCTTATGTGGTGCTGGGGAATTGAACCCAGGACCTCATGCATGCATGGCAAGTGCTCTAACACTGAGCCACATTCGAAGCCAAACCCTTCTGCTTATCTACAGAGGCCTAGTAAAAAAAAATGGCATTGGGAGGCAGCTGTGCCCTTGGCCTTCGTATTTGTACCACACACACACACACACACACACACACACACACACACTCACACACACACACACACACACACACACACACACACTATCCTTTTGGAAATCGCTCATTCTCCCATGTTTACAAACAGTATGCTTTCTGAGAAAGGATGGTTCACAGACTGGAGTCCTACCTAGGCCTGTTATATACCTCAAATTATGAACCAAAATACCACATTCATTAAAAGTATGCCTGATGATAACATTTTATTAATGTTTTGAATTATTTTTGTTATTATCATTTGGCCAACACTTTGCTTGAATTCAGAATTAAAGGGACTTAAGGTTCACTGAATTGGTAAAGTACCCTTTTCTCTTTTAATTTTAGACCAGCAATTAAAAATTCGCAATTACACTCCCTCATGTGTGGAATCCTAACTACTCAGGAAGATGAAATTAGATAGCTTTGTAGGCCATCCCATGCAAAAACTCCATGAAAATGATATCTTAGCCAATAAAAGCATGGCTCTGGTTATATGTACCTATCTTTTTTGCTACTTGTGATATGTAATTATAAAATTAGTGTGTTGAAAGGTCCAGGCAGAGAAGCAAGACCCTAAGGTGCAAAATGAGAGATACAAAAGGGCATCTGGTATAGAAGGTAAAGGAAGCCTCACAAATTTTTGCCCCTGAATTCAACCTGAGGACCAATAATAAGATACGTGTAACCAATACATTCTTCCAAATATTTAGTGGAAGAATTTGGGTGTGGTTTACCCAATGATAGGTAAACAGTCCTTTACCAAGTGAGTGCAAAAGGACCTTTGCATATGGCTATATGATGTTATGAATTTTATATCCTGTTATGTGGACACCATGAGTCCTGTTTGGATCAAGTAATTAAGATCTCCTGATCTAACAGGGCACTGGTGCTTCACATCGGGATTCTTACTTGCTCAAGGGTATGAGGTTTAAAGATCACAATTGAAAGGCAAATAGGTAAGAATTGCTGTAAAAGTGTTATGGCCAATTATCACCAAATTTCCCACAAGTAGTGCTGTGAATGAAGTTGATAGACTGTCAACACTTTTGTTCCTTTATTACCAAAGCTCAGGGACAGATCCCAGGCCCTGAGTAGAAAGCACTCCAAGGCCAGGGAAGATATTTTGGAAAATGGGTTTTTGGCCCTCGTGCAGAAAAGTTACCATTCTTGTTTAAGCCTAAAGTCCTCGATAGGGTATAGTCATTGTCCTCAATTGAGGTTGATATTGAAATGTCTTATAAGCCAGGGGAATGATAGATTGTACGAATATTTTGGTTTCTTTTGTCAAGTGAATCCACATGCACATTCCTTTATGTTTCTGACTAGTTCATAAGTCCTTGTAGAGGTTCAAGATACTATGCAGGACAATGTGGTCCACGTCAGTAAAGTGAGGAATGAGACCTTCAAAGAGAGATCTCAACATATAAAATGTGGCCAAATATTTCAGTATACTTGAAACAGTATCATAAGAAAAGAAGTATCAAGTAGTGCTGATTTAAGGTCCCAGAATACCAATATATTTGAATGAGAAGACTGTGATCTTGTGCTGTGTGCACATAGATGTAGGAGAAAACCTCTTTTCAATCTGAGCTGTTCAGATGTGTTTAAGCATTTTTGTTGTTTTTCCCTTTCTGATTGCACTTTATTTCAAGGCCACTCTCAGGGGTGAATGACAGGATATTTAGTTTCAGCTCATTCTAAAAGCTATGTCCTCAGAAGAGAAGTGGTGAACCATGACTTAGGTACATATTCACCCTAGACACAATCACTAAGAGAGGGTTAACTTACATAATTTTTCAGAATGTCAAGGGTCCTACCACACGGTTCATCCTGTATCCCTTTTCAAAATTAGGCCTTAGAAGAGTTCTGCTTTTGTATGAAAATTTCAGCTCTAAATTAGATTATTTTCAATAGCCATTCAGTGAATGTTACTGGATAAAATATACAAATAAAGTCATATTTATTTTACAGAAAATTCTGATATCATCAGCAGGGGCAGTTAATATGATTCAAAGTCAGGACCATGAAGATTCTGCTCTCCAGAGTTCTAAGTATTTAACCAAGAACCTCCAATTCCCAATCAATCTTGATCCCAATGAGAGAACAAGATGTTATTAGAGCCCTTGTTTCTTCCTCAGGTTAACCTGGAGTGATGCACCTCAGAGTGACTGGAAGGGACAGAAGCCGGGACACAGAACACACTGGGTACTGAACAAGGCTATCATAGGATTTTCACTAGACCCTCAGGGAACACCCAAGGCCCCCTTGCATTACCTTGAGCACTTATATCTTTATGTTTGTCCAGCTCTAGGTCATTTTTCCTCCCATAATTAGCTTAACATTAAGTGTACATTTTTTCTGTTCCCTCAATGAATTGAGAAGTTCTTTGAAAATTGTATTTCATTTTTCTGGATCACTTAAACCCTTGTATGAAGTCCCTGTTGTAGAGGTCTCAGTACTTTGAGTAGATGACTACTGAGCATCCACAGCCAACCACCTTTTGCCTCACTTGTATATGGAGTCTGAACAAAACCAGCCAAAACTTTATATGTATATTTTAATTTAAATATTTGTTACCAAAAGTTTGATGTGGAGACTTCATCTGGTGTGGTGAAAGTTGGTTGGGCTCATGGTCTATGGCAGAACTCAAAATGGAAGGTACACAAAAGAAAAGTTTGGTAAGAAGCCAGCTGAGGAGAGGAGGGCAGTGCCAAAATCTTTATGCAACAGCAAACCATGGGACAGGAGTGAGCTGCCCAGAGCAGGGTATGTGCTCCCCATCAGTCCACCACCAACACAGCATGGCACCTGCACCATGGGCCAAGGTGTGCAGGTGTTTCCTGCAGGGTGACTGTTGACACAGAGACCTGTCAGAGAAGTCAGTGGCCTAATGTAATAGTCTTGTCCTAGGTAGATGATACAATTGCTTGTGGATAAGAAGAATTGGTAATAAAACAATTGTTAGATGACCTAGTAAAAATTCTTGAGCATGTGTGTGTATGTGTATGTCCTAAGAAGAAAACAAATTGAAAAGTATTTCAGAGAGAACTCAAATGACAAGTGTGGGACTTGAGTGTACAACAAGATATATCCATGAGAATCCAAACAAATAAGTGAAAAGGAAGGGTTTCCTTCACTAATTTTTACCTAACCTTACAAATTCCATTATGTTCAAAATAATAAGGGCAGAAATGTATCTTTTGATTCTTACTGTTGTATAACAGCTAGTTTATAAGTGACAGCAGAGGCATAAGGTCTGTTCTGTGTGTGGCCCCTGCACTCACTGGAAAGGAAGACAATACTGTTGAAAGTGATCTAAAGTGATTGGAAATAATATCTTTTAGATTGCAAAGGAAGCATTGACTAATTTATATGTGCAGACTTTTTGTTTTGCAGGTCTTTGGGCTTGATCTCAGGGCTCAGGTGCTGTCCCTGAGTTGCTTTTGCTTAAGGGTAGCACTCTACCACTTGAGCCACAGCACTACTTCTGGCTTTTTCTGTGTATGTGGATCTAAGGAATGGAACCCAGCTCCTCATTCATGGGATGCAAGCACTGTACCACTTAGCCAACTTCCCTGTCCTATCAGCAGACTTTTTTTATGTTAAAAGAAGAAACAATAGGTTGGTATGTAGCATCCACCTTCCATGTGTAAGTCCCAAGGTTCAACCCCCAATGTGAAAGAAAGAAAGTTGAAAATGGAATGACATGAAGTATTCAGTTACAAATAGAAAGAAAAAGAGGAACAAAGGCCATGAGTAAGTAATGAGGTTTTTATTTGTTTGGGACTGTTTCTTTTTCCTTTTAATTGTTGGCTGTGGGGTTTGAACTCAGGGAGGGCCTGGCATATTCCCTAAGCTTTTCACTAAAGGCTAGCATGCTACTACTTCCAGGCAGAATGTCACTTCTAGTTTTCTGCCACTTAATTGGTGATAAGTCACAATTCATTTTCTGCTGAAGTGTTGCTGAGGAATGGAACTCAGTGCCTCATGTATGCAAGGCAAGCAATGTACCACTGAGCCACCTTGCAGCCCCTGTACTAGCATTTTCATAGGAGTTTATTAGGCTTTACCTATTTGTTTGTTTCACAGATTCAACAAACCATAGAACCAAAATACTTGAAAAATATGCCACCTATAGTAAACATGCAGTCTTTGAAAAAACTGGCATTATCCTAATAACAATGCAGTATAACAACTATTCAGTAGGATTTAAATTGTAGTAGATCTCAGAAGTGATTTACAGTGTATAGAAGATTGCCTGGAGATTATATAACAGGTGATTTGCACTGTATCGTAGGCTGTGTGCAGGTTACATGAAAGCAAACTGAGAAAGTATCAGATGAGACAAACAAAAAAATAGCAAAGTAATTACTAAAATGAAACCATGTTTATATTGTAATGTAAAATTAGTAAATATATCAGGTTCTGTCTGATTTGAGCAGAAGAAAATACACTCATAAATCTCAATAAGCTATTCAAGGAGATATACATTAATTATCAAGAAATCAAAATGAATCAATATAAGGATACCCTAAGCAAAAATCAATAATGAAAAATACAAATACTGATAATATGAGAGGAAATAAACATCAGCACAAATTGTGTTACCACAGATACAGAGCATTGGTAATAACAGGTATATCATACATCTGTATAATAAAAATTTTATGCTGAAAAGTAAAGTCTACAAAGACATGGTTAAAAGGCCAAAGAATGATGATTTCTTTAATCTATCATTATGATTGGAGAACTGGTACTCCACTTTTATTTTGTCGGCCGTGGGGCTTGAACTTGGGGCTTGGGTACTATCCCTCAGCTCTTGAGATCAAGGCGAGTGATCTACCCCCTAAGAGACAGCGACACCTCCGGTTTTCTAGTGCTTTATTGGAAACAAGTGTCTCATGGACTTTCTGCCCATGCTGGCTTTGAAGTGTGATCCTCATATCTCAGCCTCCTGAGTAGCTAGGATTACAGGTGGTAGCCATTGGTGCCCGGCCTCTAATACTCCTCTTAATGACTAAACAAACAGACAAGATGTGGAAGGCATTATCTTTACCTAAATGCTCTTTATAAAGCACAATGGTGTTATATTTACCAAGACAGACACACTGAGAATAGATCTGAAGACAAATTGTCGAGAAATCAGTATGAGAAAGGAATCTGTTATAAACACAATAAAATTCAATAATATATTTCTCATAAGCTAGCAGTAAAACAGATGGAAACTAGAATAGATCTGTATCAAATGTATGCTATTACTATAATGTATAGAATATTAAAGGGAGCAACTGTCTTAGGTCAGTTGTAAAATCATAAAAAGTGCTTTGAATTATATATGGTGTATTCACTTGAATATCTTCTGGAGGGTGTGGTAGAGCCATAGAATTTGAGGGAAATAGGGTGATGAGAATATAGTATACAACTCAGGAGTAGAGACAGGAGGGAGGGATTGGGAGAGAGTGAAGGAATGGAAGATACTGTATGAAAAGAATTTATTAATCTCTATGTATCACCTCCATAATAATATTAAATTACATTAATAATAAAACAATACCTCCAGCATAAACGATTTGCTTGGTGATGAAAATCTACCACAGTTAGAAGAACAGTTACAATTTTTAGAAATCTAATACAGCACTCAATTTGCAAGATAAACTATTTCAGTTTAGGTTGAATATTAACTCTACATAAACCAGTAACAATAATCCTTTCATTGTAGTATTCAATTAAGTGTTAATGTTAAATGCTGAGGTAATAAAAAAAAACCAAGACAAGCACTTCTGGCTCAAGACTGTCATTTTACCCTAACTATTAAGGAGGAAAGTGAGGTCTGGAAGTCAGCCTAGATAGACAACTCAAATTAAGCAGCTAATGAACAGGTTAGAGGTAAGGCTCAAGTGATAGTGCCAACAGTGAGTGAGGAAGCTGACTGTCTGTGAGACCTGCAGTTCAAGCTCCAATAGTAGCTCTAGAAAGCTATGGTGGAGTCTGAGGTATGTGTATTACATGTGTTTCTAAATTAGAAAACTAATTGTTGTGAAAACTGGCAAGTCTTCATCTCAGACATAAAGAGAAAAGAAAATGAGTGGAGGAGGGAGAGAAGGGAAGCCAAAGGTCAGGAAAAAGATGGAAGAAGAGGAGACAAGAGAGTAGCGGAGAGAAAGGAAAAAGAGGGAAAGGGAAAGGAGGAGGAGAAGACAGGAGAGGAAGAAAGCCTTATGGCATTAGATTTGACAGTAAATCTTAAATAAGACACCAAAAGTGACTCATGCAACAAAGAGACAAACAAATGCCAGGCTCTGGTGGCTCACACCTGGAATCCTAACTACTCAGGAGAGCCAGATCTGAGGATCATGGTTCAAAGCCTGCCTGGGCAGGAAAACCTGTGAAATCTTATCTCCAATGAAACACCAGAAAGCCAGAAGTGGTGAAGTGGCCCATGTGGTAGAGTGCTAGGCTTGAACTGATGGGCTGAGGCACAAGCTCAGACCCAGATTTCAAGCCCCATGACTGACAATAAATAAATTAATGAATAAGGGTTGGGATGCTGGCTCAGTGGTAGAATGCTCGCCTCAAATTCATGAGGCCCTGGGTTCCATTACTCAGCACCACATAAGTAGAAAAAGTCGGAAGTGGGTGCTGTGGCTTAAGTAGTAGAGTGCTAGCCTTGAACTGAATAGCTGAGGGATAGCAGCCAGGCCCAGAGTTCAGGCCCCAGAATTGACCAAAAAAAGAAAACAAAACAAAGCCAAGTAAATAAATCATAAGTAAAAATTAAAAAATAAAGACAAAACCAAAAAAAAAACAAACAAGATTATGTGCACATAATCAAAATCTTGTATAATGAAAAGAACTATCAACGAAGAAGCAAAAGCATGGTAGGAGAAAATATTTGCATATGTCCTTAAATAGATTCCTAACAAATCTGAATTATAAAATATAAAGAAAATCCTACAAGTAATCCCACACAACAAAATCTAATTTTAAAATAGGAAAAA